ACACACACACACACACACACACACACACACACACACACACACACACATTATTTGGCAACACACTCACATACACTATGCAATATGGGCATGGACAATGCATCCATTTACCCCTGTCTAATGCTTGAACTGGCTACCACCCATCCAGCCTTTGGAAGCCCCCTGTCCAGGAGAACGCTAGAGGAACTGCCAGTGGAGACATATGACAAGGTGATGGTTTTGGGCATGGATTTTAACTCGGAAGCAATACTGGACGACACATCATCATCCACAACAGCTATGTATATTCGCCACATCCAGGTGCAAATAAGCCACTGAACACTTGCTTTTCCTGATTCTTATCTTCCTACCTGCTAGTCTACCTGCCCATTTATGTCTGTGTCTTGGTAACCCCCTCAGTGTGCATGCCATTCTGGATGATCATCAATCCAGTTGTCCATCCACCTGCATGCCGTCCACCCTGTGGTGCCCCTGTCTCCCCTCCTTTTGTCCCCATTCATTACGATGATGCCCCACAATATCCGGGTCCGTCATCGTTTTCTCCCTTTTGCTCTTTTTTTTTTTTTTTTTTTTTTTTTTAAACATGTCCTTATGGTCCTGGCTCCATATCCATTCTGGGGAGCGTCAGTCCGGTTCCTTTCCACCGGCAAGTCAAAAGTTGGAATACATGGTGAACACTCTCACGCTTCCTTCCGTCTGGCCAAAGGAACCCTGACCAGCATTGATTGCTCCTTATCAGGAATATTGACTGTCAGCTTGCCCTACCACTTTTCCTCTCGGAGTCTACTGTGTCTCTGTCAGATACTGCATATGAAGCAAGAAAAGAGGAGAGTTGTCTATATTGTTGAGATTATAATCTCAGTTTGCATTCCACTAAGTCCCTGTCCTTGTGCTGTGCCACTTCTTCCAAACCAATCTGTTATCCACCACAGTGGTGATCCTTCCCTGTAGAAGCCAGTCTCTTATGAACACCCTTCTCTTTTTGGTTAACCTTTCTGGTCTGCCTTTCGTCGTCGATGTCACTTCCCTCCATCTGACTCGAATCTCTGTTTCAGCCATTCTCAGCAGTAGAGCCCACATTTCTTCTCTTGGTACCTCAGTTCCTTGGACTGTCTTGGTGCATCTCCTCTTCCAGATTATAGAGCCAGCTTTCTGAGTAGATGGAACCAGACTTCCTTACCGCCTTTGAGATTGTTGGTGTTGTTAGATAGGAGCAGGGTGTTCAGGGGGGTTGTGGGCGGGGGGGGGTGATGAGAAGAGGATGGACCATAGGCCGCGCACCTTGTTCCAAATCCATGCTGCTTCCGTGCAGTACAGGAGGCAGTGGGGTATGTCTTCCGGGGCGTTGTCTGTGCATAGTCTGCATAGCTCAGCGTTGTCGGGGTCTGTGTGTTTTCTCCTCTTGTGGAGCCAATGATTGGTTGGCAGTGATGCGTGCGCTAGGAGCCATTGCATGCTTCGAATCCTAGCCGGTGTAATGGACAGGAACTTCGACCACGGGATGGATATGGGGACCGAGGGGTCCGGATTCAAAATCACCCTCCACTTTCCTTTGAGTCTGGGATCCGGGTCTGTGGTTTGTAGGCCCAGCTCATAACCGAATTTGACATCGTATTCGGCTATCGTTCTCGTTCTCCCTGATTTACCCTGTTTCCAAACTCCCCCCCGAACATGAACGGTCTATTCTGGCTCATGGCAAAGGACTGGACAATCAAATCTGGCAGATCGCGCAGGAGAAACCCTGCCCAACTCATCACAAACCCCACTCAAACAGTCAGCTCATATTGGAGTCCCACCATCAAAGCCTGGCGCAGAATGATGCCAAGCAAACACGGCGCACCAGAAAACAGAGAAGAAGTCCTGAGACAACCTCTCTTCTGCAACCCCTGGATCACCGACCCCAGTGGAACATCATGGACTCTACGCGCAAAAGACCGAAGATGGCTATCCTGGGTAGAAAAAGGTGTATGGCAGGTCAAACACATCTGGGTAGAGGACCAAGGACGATGGGCTACTGATCAGGAACTACGCAATGTCTTAAAAGGCAGCCACTCCCTCTCTGACAACTTAACGCTGATCCAAAAAAGTATCCCAACACAATGGCTCCCCCTCCTAAGAGAGGAATTCTCGTGGAAATCCGGGGACTGGGGCATACTAGTGTCCCAAGCCCAGCCTACCAGAGCATACAGATTCGTTGCTAGAACCAGCCCACCCGGCTACCTATCCAAATTCCACCCCTACCCCGTCGCTAAGCACAGCACAAATGAGCTGGAAATCCAGAACAAAGATCCCCAGTGCGATATTCTCGAGACCTTCCGACTGAGAAAAGTGAGGGTGTCAAAGGCCAAACCCTGGAAAATCTTCCAACCGGACCTCAGCATCTCAGAGCTAGAATTCGACCCGATCCTGGCTCCTTCTATTCTGGGGAGCATCAGTCCGGTTCCTATTCCACCGGCAAGTCAGAAAACACATTACATTACAGCAGAAACTCACGCTTCCTCCCGTTTGGCCAAAGGACCCCTGAACAGCATTGATTACTCCACCATCGGTAGAGGATTGACTGTCAGCTTGCCATGACTCACTCCTTCCTCTCAGACCTGAAAAACCAGCTCTGCCAGATAGTACTATATTACCGAGAAAGAGCTCGCCCATTATTTCTGCTTGCCTGTGCTTCCCCACTCATCAGCCCTGCCCGTAAGTCACGGTATCCCCTATCTCCTTAAGCCTTACCCCTTCTTTTGAATCGATAGCATGACCTGTCAAGTTGGCCGCTATGATGCCGACTGCAGCCAGTGACGGGGCTAGGTAATCCCGTTCACAGTACCCAACCCAACCTTCCTTAGTGCAATGAACTGAGTTAGAAATCTACGCAGACACAGGACCAAATTGTAACTTTTGGTCTTCTTTTTTGTTAGAAAAAAGAAAAGGAATGTCCTTCGGGACATCTGTTAAAATTGGAACGATACAGAGAAGATTAGCATGGCCCCTGCGCAAGGATGACACGCATAAATCGAGAAATGGAAAAAAAAAAAAAAAAAAAAAAGTTACCTTTTCATTATAATGGCGGGCAACTGGGTCCAGCGTCCCTCGCAGCAGTACTACTCACCCCGCACTCCTCCCCGTAGGACCTGAGACAGCGGCACTGATTGCTCCCTGTTCGGGAGGATGTACCACTTCTCTGCCCCTCTTCTGTACCGTTTCTCTCTCTGTGACCTTCACCCTGCCGTGCTTGCTGTGCCCCCCCTACCCTTCCTTGTACTGCGACGCTATGCTGAAGCATAACTACCACTACCACAGTTCTCCTGCCCTGTGCTCTCACTCTTGATGACCCTCTTCTCTTTCCTCTCCAGTGCGCCCTTCTTTTTTCCCTAGCCTCGGCAGCGTTAGCCGCACCGGGAGACCCCGGGGCGGCCGCTTGCTCGGGCTGTTAGAGAAATTCCGTTCATTGCCGCACAGCCTAGCCTGGACGGTTGCCCTGCCGCCTCTTCGTGCAGCCAGGCGGCCGCACGCAGTTAGTGAGCTTACTGGTTACGTTCATTTCAAAGCTGGACACGGGGTCCAGCGTCCCTCGCATCCAGGTATTCACCTAGATGCCCCTCCCCGTTCTTTCATTGACAAAGCTGGAAACCGGGTCCAGTGTCCGTGACGTCCATGTATTCACTACAGACGCCCCTCCCTGTTCAGGCCTGGAGGTCCCGAGCGAGTGGCATTGATTGCTCCCAGTCGAAAGGATGTACCACTACTCCTCCTGGTTCACTAGCTCACTTCCAAACCATAACTATTGGACCCCGATCGGCTATGGACTGGGTTGTCTGCTGGGGTCATCCCCATCTGTGGGGGGCCGCTCCAGTCGATGGAGCGATCTGAATTGGACCCAATTCCTCTCTATCACCCCTATCCTACCTGCTTTAAGCTATTTCACGTGGAACTCGTGCTGGATGGCCTGCGCTATGTCCGGGTTTCTCTCCTCCGTCTCTTTCTTTGCTCTGTGCCAGTCGGTCCAGTACTCTGTCTCCAGCAGTCGATGGAGCTCTTCCCATGCTTGTTGTAAGGATTGCTGTTTCTTGTCTATCGCCTCTCGGCACCTACTTTTCTGTATTATCCAGAGTGCCAATCACCTCAGTCTGTGAAGGAGCTTCTGTTGGTATGCCTCCAGCTTAGCCATCCCATTGAAACCCGTGAGGGTCTGAAGCAACCTGCTCGGTAAGGGCAGACCGGTCAGGGCGAGCCACAGATCCGCCACTCTGTCCCAGATATGGCGGGCCTTCGGGCATGCAATTAGGCAATGTGTAATATCCTCGACTTGACCTGTCTCGTATATGGCACAGAGGCCGTCCAGCGGTGCTTCGCGTTGTTGACTTCTACGCCTGCACAGCCACCGGTCGACTGGGAGGGTGAGGTCGACGATTGCCAGCACCGGTGCTTCTCATTCGCATGTTTCGGATTGCCAGCGCCGAGTTCTAGGGGATGGTTCCGCAGCTCGGCCAGAGCGGTGTCTGTGTGCTTCATCCACCTGCTGGTACTTATGCCGTGCACTGCGAATGATCATTCGCAGATCATTCACAGATCATTCGCACTTCGCCATCTCAGTCTGTATCCCAGCTTCATGGTGTATTGCAAGAGGTTTAATCTATGTGCTGCTGCACTTGGGCCCCTCCTGATCTTCCATGCCAAGTTCTGGTCTTAATTCTATACATTATTACAATAGCATATTTCTGGAGTTGGTTGTGAGCATCAGGTCTCACTAGATTGATTGTACAGTTCTAATATCTCCTCCGAATCACATTGTTCGCTGATGAGGAGGAAGGTGAACCGAAAATGAGGGCTCAGGGGGCGGAGAGAGAATAGCCAAGGAGCTTGAGAGCCTAGGCAAACTGAGAAGTGAAATTCACTGAGCCGCTGCAGAAGCAGAAACGGTCGTTTCTACACAACCAGAAAATAGAATTAAACCACCAGTACTTCCTAAAGTCGTGCCGTAAACAAGCCACAACTTTAGGAAACGTACGCGCTACTACAGTGCCCAAATTCATCCGACTAGACACATTTCTACTCCACTTCTTTTCCACGGCCGATAGCTGGGCCAAGTACTGGTGGTTTAAGGCTGGTGAGACGGCAGCTGAGGTCACAGCTGCCAGCAAGCAAAGAGTTATCTGCAGCTATGACCCTCCCGCTCAGGTCTTAACAGCCGCAGAACACAGACAAAGAGAGCAGACTCAGCAGCAAGATCAGCCATGAACTGGATGAACTGAAACTCCGGTTGGGGAAGCAGCGGAAGGCATCCTGGAAACAGAAGTCGAAAT